TATCTAGAAGAAAGGTTTCAAAAAGAAAGAGAATAAACAGAGAAAATAATTGAATATATAAGTAATAAATTAAGATTTAAGGTGTCTGAATACATCAATTATTCTAAATGGAAATGGAGTAAATGTAAGCAGAGAGAATATAGTTATTGCACTGAGGATGTCACTCAGTGGTAGAGCACTTGCCTAGTGTGCTGAGGTGCCAGACTCAGGTCCCACTGCCACAAAAATAGCTAACTCAGTTAATTGATTAAAATAAGTTAAGAAAAAACTATAAATATTAAAATACATATAAAAATATGGGGTTGGGGATTTAGCTCAGTGGTAGAGCACTTGCCTAGAAAGCACAAGGTCCTGGGTTTGGTCCTCAGCTCCGAAAAAAAAAAAAAAACATATAAAAATAAATAAATGATGTTATATGCTGTCACAAGAAAGAGAAAAAGTCACTAGGTATGATAGTGCATGCCTTTACTCCCAGCACTTGGGAATTAGAAGCAGGTGGATCTCTGTGAGATAGAGGTCGGCCTGGTCTACATAGGGAATTCCAGACTAGCTGGGGCTATAGGGAGACCCTGTCTCTAAAAAACAAGAACAAATTAAAAGAACAAAAAGAGAGAGAGAAAAGTTTGACAGTAAAGCAGTATTAAGTTGTTCTCTCTGAAGAAACCAGAACTCTCTCTTGAGTGTATACTGTCCTTTTCTTAAGCACCTCTTTCACTCTTTCCTCTAATTACCCTGCTTAAATCAATGATAAAAACCTTTTCATAATAAACTCCAACTTTGTCTCAAAAAAAAAGGTGTTTCAGAAAAGTTTTAGCCAAAAAATATCTTGTAAAGTTTTTATGAATTGGATTTCATAAAATTAAAAAAATTAATCTTGGGGAGATGGGGAGAGGAGAGCAGATCTATAAATGTCATCAAACTATATTGTATGAAAATCTCAAAAATAAATTCAATTAAAAATGCAAATAAATAATGAAATCTATTAAAAAAAACTTATTAGAAAACCTTTGGGGGGGGTCTCCTTACGATAGGGTCTCCCTATGGCTCCAGCTGGCCTGGAACTCACTATGTAGACCAGGCTTGGCCTTGAACTAACAGAGATCTGCTTGCCTCTGCCTCCCAAGTGCTGAGATTAAAGGCATGCACCACCATGCCCAGCTAGAAAACCTTTTTAAAAAATTGTAAAGAGGGGCTGGAGAGATGGCTCAGCTGTTGAGAGCACTGACTGTTCTTGTAGTTCTTGTAGAAGACCAGGATTCGAATCCCAGCACCCACATGACAGCTAACAACCATCCATAACTCCAGCTCC